GAACTCGATCTGCCCAGGTGCTGGAGGAATTCGCACGCTCCAGTCTGAGGGTTTAGGGGTTTAGGGTGTTGGAGGGTTGGAGGCTTCGGTGCGATAGAGGCTTTTCTAAGGGCTTTCGACTCACACACTCGCAGATGCAGGCATGGCGATGGGCTTTAGGGGTTTAGGCGTTAGGGTTTTTTTAATTGCTTGCGGCTGTGGTTTAAATCTAAGGGTTTAGGGGCTTGGGGGTTTACAGGTTTAGGGGCTTACGTAAGTTCTGCGGGCCGCAGAGATGACCCGTGACAAAGAACAGCTTTTGCTGTATCGCAAAGCACGGCAGTGTAGCAACAGACGTCGCTAGTGTAAACTTAGGGTTTAGGGTTTAGGGCTCCTTCCATCGTGGCACGCTGATGGCGTGTTCATCAACGGCTCTCATCAACCAGATAAGAATCTCAAAACCAAGGAAACGTCCCGATCGTCTTCCTTACTTCGAAGCCACCTGAAGCTTCCAAGCAAATGCTGGATCGACCCTGAAGCCACCTTCCAGCCGCTCCACCTGCATCGGCACCTTAGTAGCAGCGTCCGTGATAACACTTCCTTTGTGGTGAATAGCCCAGCTCGTAGCTCCTCCTAGCTTGCAGATGCTGCTGCGCTTGCCGCTGCTGTTGCTCCTGCTAAGTATCTGGTGATCGCGACTGTGGCTGCCGTCGCGGCTTTAATTCTCCTCGTCCTCCTTTTCTATGTGCAGAACCACTTGATTCAGAAGTTGCTGCTACGCTTTTTGCGCTTCTTAGAATGGCTCAGGATCCAGCTCACGGGATTTGAGGCCACATGCTGCGAACAAACACGACAAGACAAACCACTAACCACAACCAAAACCGCTGACATTGCTTACTCATGTGCTATTCTTGACTATGACTATGACACCTTAAGCCACCGCTCCACCTTCCAAGACCATCTAGGTTGTTTAGGCGGTTGGCTAACCTGGGGCATTTTTCACAACAAACATGCTGAATTGGGCTGTGCACTCGGATCTGTCGAGCTATGGGAGTTTCCGAAAATAAGGGGTACCGTATTTTGGGGGTCCTTATAATAAGGATCCTACTATTTAGGGTACTATATTAGGGACCCCTATTTTCGGAACCCCCCATATCTACCATCTGATTACTTGGATCGATAGAAGTCTCACGGGCTTCAGATCTCCTTAGGGTTGCCAAAGCTCCTCTTGTGAAGATAAAGACCACTTTAGGGACAAAGTGACTGGAATCAGATTCTGGGGCCTACTGCACTCGAGCTTCATGTGGGACTTTCTTGGAAAATGATACGAATCATCTCGACCCCTCCATTCGTCTAAAGATCAAGCTCAAGAGACGGGTCGATGCCCCCAACCAGGAACCCCTCTTGAGTGTGGGCCGTTCTATCTGCATCTATCTAGCTGTCTATCTAGCCATCTTATCACAAGCACCAATCAACTACGAATATTTGTTTTCATAATAAAAACATTTGCTTGAGGCGATCAGGGTGGGGCTACTGGCAGTTCAGGCACGAGCTGCGATCGATGGAGCACCTGCGAAGCCGTGAAGAATACCGCTTCGGCGTTCTGGGTTTAGTTTCGGGCCAGGGGTTCTCGAAGATATTCTCGGATTTGGCTAAGGGCTCATGTTTTCAGAGTGGAGAGTTTGGGATGGGCTTGGCCGCAAAGCGGGCGCAGCCTCCACACACAAGCCTTCGAGACTTGGGCGGAAAGATGGTGGCGATACCGGGGTTCAGGCCATTCTCAAGAGGTAGAACTACTCACTGGAGACTTGGGCCTACTGGCAGCCTGTCAAGGATGCAGCATCTTCTTCTTTATCATGACCATCACATCGAACATCACGATGGCCCCGTCTTGGTAGCCTTCTGTTTCTTGTAGAATGGCCCTCTTCAGCATCATCATCTTCATCTTCATCATCGTCACCACTACCAAAGCCAAAGCCAAAGCTGTCACAGGCAACATGCATGCATGGACCATGGATGCCACCTTTATCGTGGAGTCATCCTCAGATTCCAAAGTGGCCTCCCTGTCCGAAAATCATCCGCCGGAATGTCTCACAACACGAACCGGAAACTCCCACCATTAAGCATCTCAAGTCGGAAAGGACCCCGTCCCTCCCCGCTCTCACCGGTGAGGCAGAACTCGGACGACGACCATTGCCTGAAGTTGCACATGCGTACAGCTTCAACAAAGGCATCGACCAGCACGTCGGAGCTAGGAGAATGCTTGATGAATGGAAAGAGTCTTTGTCACATTGTTTCCGCATAGCACCACAGCATAAACATGATTTACCTCCTTTCGTTTCCGTCGAGCCTGACTGACTGACTCTCTCTCTCCCTCTCCCTCCCTCTGCCACTGTCTTATACTATCCCAAACACGTGCTGACTATCTACGCATGTATGCATGCGTGTATGTATGTATGTATGTATGTATGTATGTATGTATGTATGTATGTACTTATGCAGTTATTTATGTATGTAAGCATGTGCGTGTATGCATGAAAACGGGTGCAGTGTACACACATGACTGCCATGTGGAGACAGCTATGGACGAGAACTGTGCTGAGGGCCTGGATAATTACCTATACAATTTTAGGGGCCCCTTAATGTAACTCTAGTATAGTATATCCCGAAACCCTATATTCTAATTATTAAGGCCCCTTTATTAGCGACGAGTTGCGCGAGTCGGCGCGCGCTGTCACCAATGCCCGGAGGGTGTCGGCAGCTGTCGCGCTGTCATAGGCCATGCCCGGAGCAGGGCGACGTGTTCAGGGCTGTTTAAGGCTTGGTGTCTGGAGTCTCGGGTTAAGTCGGGTTAAGGGGGTTGGTTTGGTGTGTGAGTTGGGCGCTTCTTGTCGGAGAGGGTTTGCGGATCTAGGGTCTAGAGCTAGAAGAAGAGCAGCTAGGAGAACAAATTCTGCTGGTGAGGGCTGCGCGTCCAGGCTACGTTGCTAGGTTCGAAATCCCGGGTTACAGCTCCAAGTCTTTTTGGCATCAAAGCTCATGATGCATGACGTACTAACCTGAGCAAAAGCAGTTCCCAGATGGACGTCGGAAGCCACGTGCAGGCCAATCCACCTCTACTTCCTCCTCCAACTTCCATGAAGCCACTCCTCAACCAGTCAACCCTCAATCGTAAAGTTTCCAAAAAATCTAAAGCTGTCAGGACTCGCCCTGCCAATCGAAGGACTCCCCGCGACCCTCCGTCAGTGCAGGAGTTGGGCCAACTGCCACCACCGTTTCGGATTTGGGGTTTTAGGATTTAGCGAGGTTGGTTCTCGGTGAGCATCGGCATTCAACAAGGAGTGAGGTTGTCAGCAGGGCCAACACTCAAACTGAGGCTATCATCCAACACCACTCAAACCAAAGAACTCGCTTATTGGGCTCTAGGGTTCTAGGATAGTCGAGGGATTGGAGGCTTTAGGGCTTAAAGGCTCCGCTTTGTGGCCGGGAGTTATATGGCACCACAGTGAAGTCTTCAAATCCGCAGAAGCCCTGACAGGAGCTGACTGAGGCCTGGTTGCTCGGATGCTTGTGGCCTCAGATGACGAGGGTAAGTGTGATAATGATATTTAAACATATATAGGGTTTATAATAAGAACCTACCAAAAAAGTGGGTTTTGGGTTCTTGAGGTACTAACAACAATGATAGCGATCAGAATGAAATGAACATGAAACGATCAATGGTACGGGCGGTAAGGGGAGCCTCAGGCCCTGCCTAAGCCATCTCCCATGCTGCCAAGATGCACAATGAGACTCTATGCTACTGTGCTGCACTATACTATGCTGTACTTTCCTATGCTAGACGGTACTTTACGGTACATCTGTACTTTACTGTGATGTACTGTACGGTACTGCACTATGCTTTATAATGATATACGATACGAGCCAAGATGCACAGAGCCATCAGGAGCCAGCAGCCGTGAATGGCGGTGTCATGACCTTCGAAAACGTATCGGATGTGGAATGCTTGAGGCTTGAGGGTTCGGAAACAAGCCCAAAGTAAGCCATCGATCTGGAGCTCTTATATAGGATAAGACCAAGTGTTCCTGCAGCAGTTTGATAACAGTAGTGCATGGCGGGCTTCCCATGAAAGGGATGACATTTTGAACCGGAGACCATTTTAGATTTTAGATTCCAGGGTTGTGGATCTAAGGCTCCGCGCTCCGTAACATCGGCTGTGACCTCAAGTCTCTCGTGTCGGGATGTCGTGACGAAAGCGAGTAGCAGACCGGGCGCTCATTCTAAGAGTTTGACTCCTGCAACGTACACTCCGCATTTGCGTCGCTGGGGCGCATGGCATGCACTGCAAGCAAGCCTGCAATCCTCCCACCTCCGTGGCGTGGGCCTGGTCAGAGCGCAAAGCACGAATCCACAGAAAGTCATGCACAATGCAGTTTCTTACTAGTCTTGGCGAGTACGGATACACGATGTGCCTTTGTGTGGTGCTCCTTCAGTTCTACTGGGACGTCTAATGAAGAAGGGAGCTGCGAAGGCCTGGCAGGGAAGCTTACCTCCTGTTAGGGTTCTTTTCTCACCGCCCAGCTGACTATGTGTCGCACTGCACGGATTCGGTTGGAGTGTCAGGGAGAGCTGAAGAGGAAACCAAGGTCGGACATACACTCCGCTCGCAAACGACCAACAACAGCTCAGTAGTGAAGTTCCAGCTTGTGGCTGCTGCGTTGAGGGATCATTCGGATCCCGGTCTCCTCTCCACCGGGGCCCTGTCCGCTGATGGGGCCCTGCAAACAAAGTAGTTTCTGGTTCATCTTTTTAAAAATCGTCACCCTAGGCCCTTAGGCCTTAGGCTGTCTGGGATAAAAGGGAGAAGGCAAGAGAAAGGATGCCATTCAACGGCTGCCACCTTCCTCAACATTTCATCGGAACGGGCCACCACAACATTACCAGGGGATGAAAGTCGGCGCTCTAAGCGCAAAGCCCGCGGGCGTAGCCAGGGCTCAGCGTAGTGTTGAGCATGCCCAAGGTCACCTCGCACGTGATGCCGATGGCAGAGAGCTGGATCGAAAACGGCATCTCGCGAAGACCGTGGACACTAGTGTCAGCGCCGGGATGACGGCGCGCTGCTGCCCAAACCACTGCCGGATCCTTGACCGTATGGATGGATGGCGGGGCCCCAAAGACAACTGGCGATCTGTTAGCTCGGGAGGATGGTCCGGGACGGTTGGTACCAGGTTGGTGGCGCGACGCTCCCCTTTGTTGTTCAGCTCGTTCAAGCGCCAGGGGTCGGAGATCGGAGACCGGCTGGGCCGCACCTCTACACTGATGAGGTTGCCTGGGTCCGGCTTTGCCCGAGGGTCCTTCGCCTCGATAAACTCCAGTGGTAGCGGAGCCATCGGGAGGAGCTCGCGCAGTACTATGTTGTCCTCCAAAATCTCCAGCATGAGCAGCACCAAAAGCGCGCAAGCGGCTGACGGATTGAAGCCTGGTGCCTTCGGTCCGTCGAGCACCAGCTCACCAAACATCATGTACCTGGCAATGACCAGCCCGATCAGCGCGATAAAGCGGAAGTAACCTCCGGAGATCTTCAGCTCGTCATGCAGCTTCGACCATCCTGTTGGAGCGAACACTGCCACAGCGGCGCCTTGCCCACGATACACCGTCCCACCTTAAAGAGGACATATCGGGTCCAGCCGAGCCGGGCCGAAATATTCAGCAGAATCGTAAGGGACCCTGTTCCTAGCCAACTCCAGCTCCCCTCGTTCACCGCGCCGCCAAAGACAGCCACGAGCCTCGCCGCCTCCGAGAAGGCGTGGGCGGCGATGAGCATGAACGGCATGGCCTGGTAGGCGGTGTCGCCGGGAACTTGCGGACGCTTCGCAACCACTAACCGGCTGTAGACGAGCTTCGTGAAGAACACTGTGCTGGTCTCCGTCAAGGCAGTACTCACTGGCAAGAAGGCAGTTGCCAAAAAAACCTGGCCATCGGCAAGTAGAAACAGGTAGGTCACCACCATTCCAGCCAGCACTATGCAACAACCAACCGTGCCGCAGAGCTGCGCCACCGTCCACATCAAGCAGGGAATGAATCGGCACGTCTCGTGCCGTGCCCGCGTCAAGTAGTACAGAAGCGTCGGTCCTGTGAGAAAGTTGCCACCCACGCCTAGGAGCGACATCGGGAAGTCTGCCACCTGTCTCCAGGTCGCTCCAACAGCGAGGCTGACGCCCAAGACCTGTCCCGTCAGCCAGGTCAGCCACGTAGACCTCTCTGCCGCAAGGCTGGCAGCCCAAATCTCGAAAAGAGCCCAGCAGCAGAAGACCATTCCGTTGAACCAGACCAGACCACCACGCCACCAAGGCAGCTGTCCCTCATGAGCCTGCTTCTCGAAATAGATGGAGATCGCCCACCTCGCGACGTGCCATACAAGCAGCAAGGCCATAGACAGGAGCATGTGGCGCCAGGAGAAAGTGCCACAGGCCATGAGATCGGGGTCTTTAACCTCCACATCTAGTTCCTGCGCAAGCTCCATGTCAGGATTCAGCACAACATAGCCTGACATTTCGGCCTGCACCCCCCACTCATTATCCAGAATCTGCACGTGCCGCATCTTCCCAGCTGCCCGGAAGATTACCAGTTGCTGCTGGGCCTGCAGCTCCACCGCATCAGGGCCGGTTTTTGTCCAGTAGGTGCGAACGACGCTCCCAGGCGTTTGCCGAAGCTCGTCGTGGCTCCCCTCGGAGGCTGCCATAAGAAGCACCGATCCAGCTCCTCGAAGTTGCGCACGCTGATGCGATGATCCTCCACCCCCTGGGTCAGCAGATGAGCAAGCCGTCCTCCCACAGCAAGCCGCCGCTTGCAGAGCGTCTCTTCCGCGGCAGTGCCGCCGCCCACAACGATGAGGCAGTGGTCGCGGTAGCTCTGCTCGTCCATCAGGGCTGGACTCTCTAACCCTAAACCCTGTCTGGGTTTTTTGACAGGGTTTAGGATCTAGGATTCGGGCTGTGAGGCATTCCAGGCTCTGGGCCACGGAAGGCGCATAGAAGTCAACGTCACGCGCCATGCCCTCCAAGGAACAATTCCACAACCTTTCCTGCACACAGCACACTACATAAGCACCCGTTGAGACCCTTCAACACCTCCGCAAAAAGAAAGCCCACACACATGGACTTCAGCAAGACCCTCAAAACACAGGCAAACTCAGGCCTGGGTTCCTGAAACCAAGTTATAGAGCCCCCAAAAAAACTGAGTGCTTCAGAGAAGAAAGACCTGAACATGCTCAGGTTAGACCATAACCCTTTTTTGAACCCAGACTCTGCCAACCAGCTGGGTAGACCATAACCCTAAACCCTACGGGGATCCCCAAAGAGCCCCCCCACCTGACGGCCCGAATTCCTTTGGCAGAGGACGGCCAGGAGCCGAAAGCAGCCAGAGCAGGCTTCCGAGAACTGCTGGGGCGGACTCCTTGGAGGACGAAACCGTCGGGGCCTTAATAACTAGAATAGGGTGTTGGGGCCCATTATACTAGGGTTATAATAAGGAACCCCCGTTTATTTCTTATGCTGCACTTCTTGTACGTCAACATTATGACATTTAGTATCAATAACATAGTACAGGGCACCAAACCACGGACGTGAACATGTTCGCGGTGTGTGCCATGCACCATGGGCCCTGATAGTTAGAACAGGGTTCCGGGGTATATCAGAAAAAGAGTATACAGTATACTACCAAAAACCACAAGGAATAGTATGAGGAAGTATCAAGGCCCCTGTATCGTGGCAATCGCTTCATCTTAAAGTAGCACGACAGCCAATTTTTGAGGGGTCCTTCTGGTGGGGGAAACCTCGAGCCTCGAACTATATTTCCGGAGACAGGCGAGGCAAAGCTTCTCTCGGTATCTAGAATACCATAGAGAGGCAGTTATGATCAGACTAAGGTGCACATAGGTTTTGGGCTTAGGACCATTCGATTTCACAACATCGGATGATGTTGAGAATCCGAGTGCATAGCCATCACGGGATCTACAAAACCCGGCACTTCGCAGGTCTCTCACCGGCGATCACCCAAAGCCCTTCGACACCGTACCCGCTGAACTCCGCCGAAGCACATCTGGTGCAGCAGCGAATGGCCCTTCTGCAGAGAAGAAGTTGTTGCAAGCCAGCGCAAAGCCGAGACCTCAATGCCAAGGCTGAATACAGGTGCTTGAACTCACATCACGGACATGCCAGGAGAGCCTGCAACACTGTGCCATCCCGGAGTTTTGTGTACGACTCGCGAGCATGAACCTTGCTGAGCTTGTTTCGTTGCGTCCTCAGACAACGGACCCTACAAAGAGGTTGTGGCCAAGCATGAGATAGATTAACCAACCTAAAGTCCCAGCTACAGTACGTGAAAGGCCGTCGCAATGCAGAACTCGGCAGAACAAAGGGCTGCATGCCGAGGATGCAATCATGCTAGGGTCGTTTTGGCTCTTCACCATCCGGGATGCGAGGACAGGCGAGGCCTGCTGAGCTCGGAACGACTCCTACTCGGACTCCGTCACGAGCAGAAAGGTTTTTCAAGACTGGTGTGTCTGAGAACGGAAATCAATATGACAGCCACCTAAGCAGGCTTCTGCTTACCTGTTTGGGACGGCTGCCGATCCTGCAACCAGGCACGCGTGGTAGGTCTTGGGTTTCCCACTGAGACATTGATTGTTTCTGCACATGCTATTTTATTTAGAACCATAGGTGACAGTGCCCGGAGCAAACACTTCAGTGGTTAAAACAAGTTCGGGCCTTCTCTTGTTAGGCGAGACGACCGGCCACAGGATCTCCCCCTGACCGGTCGCCACCTCGCAGCCCCAAAATATGCAGCACCAGGCACCTCACTTCTCCAATGGACGTGGTGCGGGCTTGACGCCCCAGATCACGTCGGCATACTCCGAGATAGTTCGATCAGTGGAGAACTTCGCCATGGAGGAGGCCGCCTGGATGCTGAGCTTGCACCATTTGGCTTTGTCCGCGTAGGTTGCATCCACCTTTGCCTGGGCATCGACGAAGGAAGGAAAGTCATGCACCACCAGGTACCTGTCGCCATCCCAGGTGCCTGCACCGTGCGTGTTGCAAAGTTTGTCAACCAGCGAGCAAAACTCGGCGTGAGCCTCCGGCTCACCCTTGGAGAACTCGCCGTTGCGAATTGCCTGGAAAACGGCTTGCAGTCGGCTGTCGATCGGGTAGTGGCCCTCCTTCGCCTTTGCTGCAATGCCGGCAACCTCGTGCTCCAAACAGCCGAAGATGAACATGGTGTCTTCACCACACTCCTCACGAATCTCAATGTTGGCGCCATCCATGGTACCTACAATCAGGCCGCCGTTCATGACAAACTTCATGTTGGAGGTTCCGCTTGCCTCCGTGCCTGCAGTGGAAATGTGCTCCGAGATGTCCGAAGCTGGGATCAGGACTTCGGCTGCAGACACACGATAGTTTGGCACAAATGCAAGCTTCAGGAGTTTGCCAGTGTCTGGGTCGTTGTTGATGACCTTGCCGACATTGTTGATCAGCTTGATGATAAGCTTTGCGTTCACATAGGCCGATGCTGCCTTGCCACCGATCAAAACCACACGCTTCTGCACCTTCTCACGCTCAGCAGGCGACATCTTCTTGAGCTGCTGGTAACGGTGGATAACATAGAGGCAATTCATGAATTGCCGCTTGTACTCGTGGATGCGCTTGATTTGGATGTCGATAAGTGCATCCTGATCGATTTCAAGGTCCAGCGTCTCCTTCAAGAAGCCTGCAAGCTTTTTCTTGGCGGTCTTCTTCATCTCCATCCACTCGGAATGCAGCTTTGGGTCCTCCTTGAATTTCAGCATGCCTTTCAGTTTCGTCATGTCCGTCAGCCACTCGTGGGAGCCAAGATACTTGGTGAAGATTGCGCTCAACGCAGGGTTTGCGCAGTGCACCCAACGGCGGGGTGTAACACCGTTGGTCATGTTCACAATCTTGTCCGGTGCGCCGGTGTCGCAGCAGTACTTGTAGAAGTCAGGGAAGGTTTCCTTCTTGATGATCTCTGTGTGAAGTGCGGCGACGCCATTCACCTTGTTGGAACCCATGATGGCCAGGTTGCCCATGCGGATCTTCTTGACGTCGCCCTCTTCAAAAATGCTCAAAGCCGCGATGATGGGCCCGTCGCCGTACTTCTTCACCAAACCGTTAATCCATCGGAGGTTTAGTTCCCCAATGATCTGGACATGCCGGGGCAGCATGCGGGTCATCATCTCGACTGGCCACTTCTCCAGCGCCTCGGGCATCACGGTGTGGTTGGTGTAGTTCAGGCACTTCGTGGTCAGCTCCCATGCCTCATCCCAAGGCACGTGCATCACATCCACCAGCAAGCGCATGAACTCCGCCACAGCAATGGTCGGGTGGGTGTCATTCATCTGCACGGCCACCTTCTCCGGCAGTTCTGACCACTTGTAGTTGGGACGCTTGATGAACTCGCGCAGCAAATCCTGCAGCGAAGCACTCACGAAGAAGTACTGCTGCCTCAAGCGGAGCTCCCTGCCCTCGTAGCTTGCGTCGTTCGGGTATAGGACGGCAGACAGGTCCTCTGCCTTTCGGCGTGCCTCCACGGCATCGGTGAAGTTCGCCGCACTGTACTGGTCCAAATCGAACTCCTTGGAGGCGCAAGCACGCCACAATCGGAGATTGTTAGTGTTGTAGGTGTCGAAGCCAGGAATGGGATTGTCGTATGCCATGGCCTGGACGATGTCGCCACCAACCCAGTTCAAGCACCACTCACCATTGGCATTGAGGCCCTCCTGCACTTCGCCGTAAAGCCGCACTGGGTAGGTGATGTCCGGCCGAGGAATCTCGAAGGGGCATCCATCCCCGATCCAGAAATCTGGCATCTCCACCTGACGGCCGTTTTGGATTTCCTGTTTGAACATGCCGTAGCTGTATCGGATGCCATAACCCCAGCAAGGCAGCGACAAAGTTGCCATGGAGTCGAGGAAGCATGCGGCAAGACGGCCCAAGCCACCGTTGCCCAGCGCTGGGTCCACCTCTTCGTGGAAAAGGTCCTCCAGCTGCATGCCGAGTGCGTGAAAGGCTTCCTTGAAGGGCTGCTCCAGATCGAGGTTCGCAATGGCATTCTGCATGTGTCTTCCGATGAGGTATTCGGCAGACAGGTAGTATCCCCGCTTCACATCCATCTTCCTGTAGTAGGCATTGGTGTCGTTCAAAGACTCCAGCAGTCGATCCCGGAGCACCAAACCAGCTGCTCGGTAGGCATCCTGCATGGTGAAGTTGAAGCGTGTGCAGGCCAAGGAGTACTCCAAATGCCTGGCAAAAGACTTCTGGATGGACTCTGGATCGTTCGGCTCGTACGTGTCCATCAGCTTCCAAAGCTTCTCCATCTTTTCCTTCTGGTCGGGATTCTCGTCTGCGCCATCCATGGGCCGCTTGATCTGGTCCAGTAGCGAGAAGGACGACTTGCGCTTCATGTCAATGCCATGCTGGTTGGGATCCCACACGCCGGCGGTGGTCATGATCGCAGGGAGCGGAGTTAGGGAAAACAGACGGGGACAATGCACCAAAATTTGCTTGAGCCGTAGTGGAGATGGAAAACCCAACCTCGACAACGCCCTAAGACTTGGCCATGATCACTCCTGCTTGCTACAAGGCTCGGAAGGTGTAGAGATCTCTTAGCCAACTTGCATGATAAAACAAGCAAGCGACGCAGCTACATAGTCCGAAGACCTTGCAGTTGCAGGTCAACTGGGCTCCCGACCCCAAGGCCCACGGCATTGCGCGCCGAGGCTTCCGCTCGCACGGCGGAGTCCTCGCGGAACTTTGAGGGGGTATATGAGGGTTTAGGGTTTAGGTTTAGGGTATATGGAAAGAAGTGGCTTGCTTGCCTGTTTGGCACGAAAATTCCACATGGTTCGTCCC